CTCTCTCTCTCTCTCTCTCTCCCTCTCCCTCTCTAACTCTATCTCCCTCTCTCTCTCTCTCCTCTCTCTGTCTCTCTCTCTCTCTTTCTCTCCCTCTCTCTCTCTCCCTCTCTCACTCTCTCTCTCCCTCTCTCTCTCTCTCTCTCCCTCTCTCTCTCCCTCTCTCTGTCTCCCTCTCTAACTCTATCTCTCTCTCCCTCTCCCTGTCTGTCTCTCTCTCTCCCTCTCCCTCTCCCTCTCCCTCTCTCTCTCTCTCCCTCTCTAACTCTCTCTCTCCCTCTCTCTCTCTCCCTCTCTAACTCTCTCTCTCCCTCTCTCTCTCTCTCCCTCTCTAACTCTATCTCCCTCTCCCTCTCTCTCCCTCTCTCTCTCTCTCTCTCTCTCTCTCCCTCTCCCTCTCTCTCCCTCTCTCTCTCTCTCACTCTCTAACTCTATCTCCCTCTCTCTCTCTGGATAGAGGTTAGAACACAGAAAGGTTTACAGACCCATGCAGAGCTGGCTAAACACTGAAGCTTCAGTGTTCACCACATGGTGACCTGGACAGTTGAGGACAGAAGGATTTTAATGAAATAGTGTATATTTTTTAAAGATGTGCGGTCAGGTCTAACACATCTCTAAACGTTATTTCTGTGATCAGTTTGACACAGTACTCGTCTGTGTGGCCTCGTTGGAGCTGAATGTATACAGAAAACTTTGTGTGAAAAGTGGACGGAGCAGAGTCCCAGCAGAGGACGGAGACAGGACTCGCCTCAGGCAGGAGATGTTTCATCCGATGGGGACCAAAGTTAAAAATAAGAAAGGGGGCGTCGTAATGCAGCATCTTTAACATTCACAAACAAGGACAGGTCTACTCACAATGATGCAGCATTTGGACAAAGTAGGTGAATTCTCCTGATTATATCCTGCTGTGTTCTCACATCAGCTCACTCTGACTTTCTGCAGAATAAATACAAGGAGGCTGGAGGAGAAACTCCGGTTGAAGAGAGAAACATTCAGATGTTTGTGTTCTGCTCCTTCAAATACCAGAAGTTTTTCAGGAGTTTTCTGTAAGTGTGAAAGCCCTCACACGGAGTGAACGTGTATTTTACTGAAGCAAAAGTTCTGAACGTCCGCAATGTTTGAGAGGGTAATAAACATGAGCCGAGCTCGTGGTCCTGCAGGGGGTTCAGTCCAGTTGAAGGATCTGTCTTTTGTTCCGGCAGAGTTTCATCATGGCCGCTCTCCGTCAGAGCAGCTGGAGAGGAAAGCAGGAAACACAGCAGAGGAATAAAACAGCTGAGAGGTAAACTGTTATGACAGGTGACGACTGTGATCATCACCACGCTGAGAAAAAACACACCGAGTCTGCAGTGTGCCGTAACCATGACTGATGCTTTCTGAAGGTAGTCGAGGGGCTGAATGTGTCTTCAAAATAAAAAGAGAGCCGAGCTGTAACATGGAGGAATACAAAAAGGGGGTCTCTGGGGGGGGGGGGGCGTAGCGGGCTTCAGGGGATACTGAGCCTGTCTAGATGGAGACAGCGTTAAGTAGGACAGAAGATTTGCCTGAAGAGCTGAAGGTAAAACAAACTGTGACTGATGGACCTCAGCATGGACAGACTGATGAAGAATCAGGAGAAAGTGAATCCTGGTGTTTGTTTAAGTGTTTGTTTTAGATACTGAAGCCATGTTAATCCTTTTGGTTACAGTCAAATATGTGAAAGTGAATTTATTTCTAATCTACGAGATGTGAGAGTTTACAGACGTGCAGTGTCTCCATCACAGGTACGTCTGATGACTTTCTGCCTGACTGCCTGCTTAACTGACCTGAATTCACCGTTTGATGTCTGTGGCTGTTCCACGCAGAGGAAGAAGTGGAACATTAAATTTGCATTTTTTGTAATTTATCCTGAGAGAGAGCTCACAATGAGGGCAGCTCCTACATCACCAACATCAGAGGTCACAGCGACCCCTCGACAGCAAACGAAGACTTTTTGTCGTCATCGAGGACAGGTTTTTACATTCTCAGTTAGAACTATTTACTCACATTTAAAAGTGTTTAACTCAGCAGCTGAGAGTCCTCATCTTGGTTGATCCATGGAGGATTCACTGGATGGATCCCCCGGGAAAAAGAGGACGCATTTTTGTCGGCCTGCATTTGAAGGGAGCGCTCCGGGCTGTGACGTTGTGTCATAGAAGGTCTTTGAATGTGCAGCCTCTGAATTTGTGCACATGCAGCTACATGATGTGTCTGTGGCGGCTCGTGCATCAGGGATCAGGATTGTTGCAAAAAGTGCGAGCTGTGATGAGTAGAAGATCAAATCTTTTAAATTCCTGCCCTGCTGCTGTGTGGGTTCTCTTGTGTTTTTAGTCCTTCAAATAAAAAAGCTCCAGCCTGCTCCCACCACAAACAGAATCCACCATCTTGTGATTTAGCCTTCGATATGAACTGTTTCACTTTTATAATTCAGCCCTTCTCTTTTCCAATCTCTACACTCCCAACAAACTCATGTTTCCTCTCATTACTGATCCCTACAGGACTACCAGGTCAAAGTGCCGTCTTGTCTTTTAACCTCATGATCACTGGAACTATTGGGAAGCATTTATAAGGTTCCGATCACACAGAGATGTGTCGCTAGAAACGTCACCAGTAAAACCTTAGTTTTCCGATGGTACAGCGTGCTTGCCACGTCAAAGTCACTTTTGGCTGAAGCAGCCAATCAAATCAAGTGGGAGGCGTTACCTCTGCTTTTTAGGACATCTCCCCTCCTCCTCCTCGTCTAGGAGCAAATCAACGAGTGAGCTCTACGTTTGCTCGACTCCATGTTTTTAGCACTTATTTTATTTGGTCGCCTGTATGCGCACACAGCCTCGCTACACTTGTTCCAAATCGCCTTTTCCCCAGACGTCTGATCCCTGTGTGATCGGGTCCTAAAGCTGTTTGATGACCTGAAGTAAAAACTACAACCAAAACTGAACAACCTTTCCACCTTTTCTTAGCTGACAGGATTGTTTGTTTACTGTAGAGGAGATGAGTATCTACAAAGACTGAAACATTTCAGCAGGTTTATATAAATATATATAATATATATTTATATTTATATATATATTATATATTTATACGTCCTGACACCTCGGATGTGGAGAGTGTTTCAGAGGCCGGTGTGAGAAGGCGTGAGTAAGAGTGTAAAAATAGAAGTGTAAGTGACAAAGAGCAAAGCAGAGACGTGAGAGATCTTAAAGTTTAAAGGGCTGAAAGTGCACATGAAAAGGTTCACACACACACACACACACACACACACACACACACACACACACACACACACACACACACACACACACACAGCTGGTTGGAGGTGATCTTCTTGATGATTAGCACCTTTAGCACATCAGACTACACCTGAGAGAGTCACCTGAAACAGTGAAAGAAATCTGTGCTAACGAGGCTAAAAACAGAAGTCCTCTCACCTGTGTGGACATAGTTACGTGTGTGTACGTGTGTGTGTGTGTGTGTGTGTGTGTGTGTGTGTGTGTGAAGGTCAAAGGTCAAAGGTATCTTTATTGTCCCCACAGAGAAATTTGTTTGCAGCTTGAGACGGACAAACACATAAACAACACTACTCAATAAAACATGAAGCTCCAACATCCAGATGAAAATGATAAAAGTTAAAGTTCAGGATGAAATGAGCAAGAAATTAGAATTCAACTGCTATTTAACAGACAAATAGAGGGGGGGGGGGGGGGGGGTCCCGCTGTCGTCTCTTCATCAACACTAAAGGACCAGAAACCCGCTTCAGATTGTCTGCTCCAGTGAAGCGTGACACTGTGCATACATACTTAACACTACATAGAGTGTGTGTGGTGTGTGTGTGTGTGTGTGTGTGTGTGTGTGTGTGTGTGTGTGTGTGTGTGTGTGTGTGTGACATTTTGAGGTCTAGACTCCACACGGGGTCCATCAGAGGACCTGATATGCTTTTTCTCTTCTTTTGCTATGAAAAATTCCATTTAAAGTTTTGCAGGTTTGCAGAGCTGGTTGCTGATCACCGGTTTGATTTTTGGACCTAAAGATCGAGATGCAGGAAAACTGATGCTGTTAAAGTTAAAGACACAAAGACATGCACTAAAAAGGATTCAAATGCAGAGTCCAGCTGGAGTACAAAAAGTAGGTTTACATACATAATGTAATCCAAAAGGGTAGACAAAGTCATACACAATAAAAACACACTGAGAACCCGAGGGCATCGCTGCAACACCTGTTGGTTTGACCTGATAACTGCTCTCATATCTGACAAACCGAGGGGCGTCCAAAACGGCCGTGTGGGATGTGTCTTAAAAGCGCCTACCTTCTCTGGTCCAAACAAATCCAGAGCATTCAGGAGCAGAATCTAAAGTTAGAAGGAGGACATACTGGCTGCTGCATTGTTGTCAGAGAAGCCAGCACTTCAACATAGCATGTTTCCTTAATGATCAGAGAGTAAGATACCTTTATCATCTCACTCTCTACACAGCTCACTGATTGGACCTTTAAGTCGACGTAAATCGACTGATTAAAATTTCCCTCCATGCAACAAAACTAATCTGCCACTTTTCAAAGAATACGTTTATATTCTTTAGTTTGTGATATCTCACTCTCTGATTTAAAATCTACAAACATCATTTAAGAAGCTTCGAAGTGAGAACACCTCCCGGCAGGTCGGAGCGTTTCTTCACACGTTTGTTGTGTCTGATGTTTGCAGAGCGCGCCGTGACCAACGGGACAAAGTTTGTCACTGCCTGACTGAGTCACACGGAGATAACAGAGACTTTACAGAGAGGCTTTCATTCTGACTCCTGCACAACATGTACCGATGCATGAGAGGAGACGAGGCTTGGTTTGTAAATCAAGGTGGTGCCCCGCAGATAAAATTCTGCAGGGGATGGAAACATGAAAACTCAGACACTGGTTTGTTCACTGTGACAAGAGAAGCTGAGGCTTTAAATCTGTTGTAAACTCAAAGAGCTCGAACCAACAGAATGTTTTTT